CTGGATTTTGTGACTAGGTATTGTTTAAATCTGGTTTTGTCATGGAATATCTTATTTTGTCCTTCTATGGTGATTGAAAGTTTTGCTTACTATAGTAGTCTGAACTGGCATCCATGATATCTAAATGAATGCATAACACTTGACCAGGACCTTCTGGCTTTCATTGTCTCCATTGAGAAGTCAGGTGTAATTCTGATAGGTCTGCCTTTATATATTGCTTGACCTTCTGCAACTCTTAATATTCCTTTTTTATTCTTTAACGTTATATTTAATGTTTTGATTATTATGTGACAAGGGGACTTCTTTTTTTATTCAGTCTATTTGGTGTTCTGTACGCTTCTTGTATCTTTATAGGCATATCTTTCTTTAGGTTGTATGTTTTCTTCTAGGAATTTGTTAAATATATTTTCTGTGCTTTTGAGTTGGACTTCTTCTTCTTCAATACCTATAATTCTTAGGTTTGGCCTTTTCATTATGACCCATATTTCCTATATATTTTTGGTTAAGCTTTTGTTAGATTAGATGCTTTCTTTGACTGATGAGTCTATTTCCTCTATTATATCTTCAGCACTTGAGATTCTTTTTTACATCTCTTGTATTCTCCTTTTTACGCTTATGTTTTTGGTTCCTGATTGTTTTCTCACGATTTCTGTTTCTATAATTCCCTTGGCTTGGCTTGTGTTTTCTTTGTTGTCTCTATTTCACTTTTCAAGTTTTGTATAATTTCTTTCGTATGCTTGATTGCTTTTTCTTGGTTTTCTTTAAGGGATTTGCTGGTGTCTTCCAACTTTCATTTCTTTGAGGGAATTTCCTCTTTAAGAGTCTCAAACATTCTCCTGAAGTTATTTTTTAGGCCATTTTCCTCTGCTTCATCTATATTTGGTTGTTAAGTCTTGCTGTTGTAGGGCCACTAGATTTTACTGGTGTCATGTTTCTCTTTGTGGTGTTGTGTGTCTTCTTACCTTATCTACCCAGCATTTCCTCTAATTGGAATAATTGGGGCTGTCTGTGACTCTGGTGTTTAGTCTTCCAAGTACTTGTAGAGCCAAGGCTCAGATGGTTGCTCCTTGTGTTGTAGTCAGTGCCATAGTTCCAGTTACCCTGTTGGTTACTCCATGTTCCTGGAGGTTGCTGAGAACTCCTGGGGTTTGATCCACTCCTGCAGAGTTCACTGTCTCAGGTCTGCTCTGGCCTAGGTTGCTGGCTCAGACCTGTTTCTGTAAATGTCCCTGGTCTGGATATGCTCCTCTGGAGGTCCCTGGCTTGGGTTTGGTCACATAAAAGTCTCTAGCTCCAGTATACTCCCTCAGAGGTTCCAGACTCATGCCTGGACCCACAGAGGTCCTGGTTAAGGCCTAGTTCCTCGGAGGTCCCAGACTCATCCCTGGACCAACAGAGGTCCCTACTCAGATCTCCTCCCTCAAAGGTTCCAGACTCACATCTGGATTTGCGGAGGTCTCTGGATCCTGCCAATACCCTTGTAAATCCCAGACTCATGCCTGAACCTGCAGATATCTCTGACTCCAGTCCACTCTCTGAGCAGTTGCTCCCCTGTACATGCTCCTGTGGAGTTCTCTCTCTCAGGTCTGTTTTAGCCTAAGTCTGATCTCCAGAACAAATACAATGATACCTTGTGAAATTTTCTGTATCCTACTTTGCCCCAAGATAATATGAGAGACACAAAAAGGAAAAGGAAATGAGAGCTCCCTCAGTGCTCTCAGAGAAAGAATTGAGTTGCAGAAAGGTTGATAAATCCATCATGGAAGCCTGGACAAAGAATTATGAGATCATGGAGAGAAGAGCCAACATGAGGTTATGGAGAAAGAAGGAAGACAACATTTATGAGCTCAGTTTCAAAGGTAAAACTATTCTTTACACAAAAGTTACCACATTAAGGGTAGCATGACAAGGAAAAGAAAAGATGCCAGCATGTGCCTAGACAATTTCTCTGAGCACAATCTGAGCTATTCTATCACTTATGATTGCAAAGACCATTGTAAGATGTGGTCAGATACCTGCGTTCAATGTTATAGAACCTGAAGACACCTGCCTTTCTACTTCTAGGCCTCCCTGCATCATTTTCTTGAGTTCTTTAAGCATTGCTTTCTAGTGGATGCACTGGGTTTACCAAGTTCTTCAACTGTCCACAGACAACCAAAGGAAAGGAGCTTTGACATTAAAATAGGAACCATTAGGAGAAAATATCACTTGGAAATAGATTAATGGGTATACCTTAGTGTTCAGATATATTCAGTTTCAAAACTCCTTATTCAAATGAGCAGTTTAAAAATCTTTTCTGAGCAATTACCATTTTTACAGACATGGCATAAAAAAACGACTCATCTGGTAATACCTCAAAAAACAACAACTCACAGAATGAAGAAGAACCTGAATTCTAAGCATCCAGTGTTAGGTAATAGCATCTTCCTGAGGAAACTAGAATCTCACAATGGTCACGGTTGGCACTGCATGAACACTTGGGATGAGCAAGGTTCTCCTCCATTTGTGGCCCCAGAGGAGCAAACACATTTCTGCATCTCTCTGAAGCATCCTACAGAAGCAAGCACTGCAGTAAGCTGCCTTGCAAGCTTGCTCGTTACTGGGCCTGGTGGAACTCCCTGAGCAGTTCACCTTGCATTTATGCAGGGCCCTCTGCCTCTGTGGAAGTTTGAAAGCACATGAAGAGTCTCTCCCTGCTAGCTCAACTTCCATTTGCTTTGATGGATTGCAAACAGGCAAGCAGTGCCTTGCATGAGAGAAGAGTTTTCAATCATAAGGAAATTCTGAGCTTCAGCAATTGATACAAAAATTATGATGCTGCCATCACACCTCACTCAGTGGGGAATTTGCAAAAATGGAAAAAAACCCGTTCAGTACCAAGTCAATGTCACATTGCAGTAAAGAGAGTTGACTAAAGTCTTGGCCTTGGAGTCTAGCTGTCCTTTGCAGAAATCATAATCAGCTTAAAATTCAGTTCATAGGAAAGTTAAAATATGGACATTCAGTTTTCCAATTTTGATTGAACAGAGATAAGTAATTAAGCTGACGTATTATAAACTCCAAGGACTTAGGGGCTGAGGACATGGCTCAGCAGGTAAAGTGCTTGCCATACAAGCATGAGAATCTGGGTTTCGATCCCCAAAACCCATATAAAAGATTGGCCCAGTGGCATATGCTTACAAACTTAGCACTGAGAGAGAGGACAAGACAGACATAGCACAGAGGCCCACTGGCAAGCCTGTCCAGCCAAAACTGTGAAATTCAAGCTGAGTAATAAACCCTGTCTTCCAATAATACCATGGGAAGGAATAGAGGAAGATACCTAACACTGACCTCTACCTTCTGCATGTGCAGGCTGACGTGTCTCCCCTATACACATACACATGTGCAAACACATGCAATAATCTCAATAACAAAGTAAGTCAACTAAAGCATCTAAAATGAAGAGATCTTTTAATAACTTAAAGTAAGACTCTATCCTTTCCTTTTTCCAGGATTTTAAATACATCATAATAACCCTTTATTCTGTAGGCTCCCATTTCTCACAGGGCCACAGAAAAAATACAGCTTTATTTTAAAGGCTACAAAGCTAGAAGTCTCAGGAGAAAAGGTACAGTGATCAATTCAGTTATGCAGAGGGCAGTTGTTAGAAGATAAGTGTTAAAATAGACGCTTAACAGTTCTTACAGTTTGACCTGTGAGCATACTTCAGCCATGTGAAGAACACAACTGACCAACTCATTAACAGTTATTATTTATTGGTTGCATAACTTATATCAGACATGATTTACAGTTATCTTGTTCAATACTCACAGTAGCCTGATGCAGTAGATATGATTGGCCCCGTCTCAGATGGGGAAACAGGCTTGCTTGGATCAACTAACTAATCAGAGATGCAGGACCCCAACTCAGGACTGCATGTAGATCTAGATGCAACTACATCTCATTTGCACCCATGCAGAAACCATAAACTGTTTGCCAAGAGGTAAATCTCTGATATATAATCAGCAATATCTACCACAGAGCTGCTTCATGAGCAAGCTAAGACAGTAAGAGCAACTATTTCAAAAAGACTACATATGAAATGATGGTCTACATGCTCTCCATCTATATATAATCTCTATCACAAACAGAGAGATAGGAAATTAAGTGAGCTTTGAGATTATAAGGAATGTGCCCAAGATTACAAGTTGGTAAGAATTTAGTAGCCAGATCCACCCTTTGAATTCAGATGTCTTGCTGATGAGACTCTGCACTTGGTCAGAGTACTACATGTTTGGTAGGAGGCATGATGTGGATGCAGACTAAATGTGTGTCCACATTTCTAAGACATCAAGCCAAACACTGAAATAGTTTCACCAGCTTATCATGACTTGTAAATCAAAGGAAAGCTGAATAATCAGTGAAGGCCATGATCAATATGAACGATGTAATGCATTCTTGAATTATTCTGCTCAATTAAGTTTTCATTACAGAGTTTAACCCACATATCTGACAAGTAAAAGAGGAATAAAAAGGATGACTATGTGAAATTAATCAAATAAACTGTCAAATAATCTTTTAGCAGCTAATTCATGTACCTCATAACAGATTTAAAGAGACCTACTGCATATGCAAATACATTTGCACAGGTGCCCAAGGTGTATATTTTGGGGTCAGATCGAAAACCTAGCTTAATACTGTTTAGAGTTATATGGAATTAATCCAATAATCTTATAAATAAGCGCAAAGTGTTTGATGTCACTAGGTAACCTTGCTCCACTGATTGAAGGTAGACATTAACTTTTCAGTTCTGATGAACTTAGGAGCTCAAGAATAAATGCAAAGATTTCAGCGTGTGTAGACATACATAGATGCATATTTTATATAAAGTTTTTATGCCAATTTCTAATAATTGGAGTCACCAAGTGTTGCGTTTCTAAGACTTTTACAATAAGTTAAAGATGTCACATAGCATATAGCTAACAGTTCTTTATTGTTCTGTTTTGTTTTCTCTGCAGGCATCCCCAGCATCTCCAGTATTGGTAGTAAGTAAAATAATCACCAACCCAAACCAAGGCTAGCTTTGCTTTGTTGTTCGGCTCCTCAGAGCTCTTTTCTCATGTCCATTTCTGATGCAATAGAGCATTATCTATTGGGATTCAAGTTTCCTGCTGGTTTTAGGTACTGGTGCACGGAGAACACAGATGAAACAGTGGCTCGTGCACAGCTCTTCTGTAGATGTGCAATGCCTACTTTTCTAATGACTTTGGATCCATGAAGGCCACCTGAACAGAGACCTGAATGGAGAAGCAATTGCTTCGATAAATACATCTCATCTTATATCCAGTCCTATGTCATACTTAGTGACCAACAACAGATTGCACTCTCTTTGTAGGACTGAGTGTAAATCTCAAATGTAACTGGGAGAACAAGAGAATGAGTGTCCACAAATGTCCTAAGTATGTTCATTGAAATTCAAGGAAAATATCATGGAGCCAGGGAGGAAATCTTTTAATGCATTAAAATGTAGGTTTTGTGAAGGCCTGAAAGAGGTGGGTTGATGATCTTTAATCATTCCGAGGAATTAAAGACAATCAGTTTGCACACCACCCACTCCTCTCTTCTGAATTGCAGTGGTCTGTTCACTCTGGAGCCCTTTGTTTTCTCTCTGGTAAGAAAGAGATATATGTACAAAATGTAAGCATAGGACCAAAGCTTACTAAAGAAGTCTCTTAGTAGAAATCCAAGAAATGGAAGAGCAATCTCCCCTCCACTTTCTGGACAATGCTTTCCAACATCACTGCTTTAAGCATGTCCAGCTTCCACAAGTGGGTCAGGTTGCAACTCTTCTTCCTGTCTGAGTTAGTATATCCTTGCCCAAGGCTGGAAATATTCATTACAAATGTACACTATACCATTTCAGAGCATAATTTCTCACAGTTTTTTACAGCATGCCCTTCATGACCAAGGGTAAAAAACCTTAGAGCCACTGCTGAATCACCGATTTAGAAAAAAAAAAATACTAAGGAAAACTCAACTATGGACTGTAAATGAAAAGAACACTGGTCCCTATGATGGTCACTCGTCAAAGGCTTGTGTCCTAAGAATTGTGCCAGGGAGAATGTTTACAGTGTAAATAACAGCAGCTGAAGCATGGCCAAACTCAACACTTTTCTGAAAGCAATGCTCTGACAATTTGGATAAGAAACTTGCCACTTCTTATACATGCAAGGCCAGCTCTTCTAATTGATAAATCAACCCCGTTTACTTAAACTTGTGAATAGACCCAGGCACTTATTTGTTAAGCATTAGACATGTTGAAGTCCATGAAAATCAGTTGCTCTGTAATCAGAAGCAGCATTTACATCCACTTTGACACAAACCCACAATAGCAGCACTGTCTTTGTGATCTTACAAAAGCAGTCTTGGGGCTGCCTTGCCAATGAGGATGTTCAGCTCAAATATTCCTGCCGTAGTGCTTGGCATTTGCTAGGTATATAGCTCCTTCAGGCCTTGACAACTATTCTTGAATAACTTTAAAGCAGGAGGAACCAGAAGGGCTCTCGTGATCTGGTGTGCCCAGAGTTTCAGAAATGGATGAGTGGAAAAGTAGTTCTTTGGTGCTGGGATGTGTTTTCGTTCTGAGAGCCAGTTGTGTGTTGCATGGACCTCTGACTGTACCTGCTCACTCCACATCTCATCTGGCCGCCTCCACCCCATCCCCCGTCTCTGAGCATCAGCAGATGTTGACCTTTTACACACGGAATCAGGACATTCCAGTTTTTGTTTTGCACAGTTAAATTTTGAAATCAGTGGTGACCTGAAAAGATGCTGTGCTGTTCCTTTGGAAGATGGCCTAATCTTTATTATCAGGAACCTGAGAAAATTTTATGGCTAATAATCTGTGGCAAAACCCTATGACTCAAAATGATAGTCTGTAGCCTGAACACTTCTGGCTATTCAGCTTAGAGCACAATGGGTGGGTTGTTTTGTTTTGTTTACTTTCTAATAAGCAAGGTGGAAGAGCATTCAGGGATCACCCCGCATCACACAGACTATCTTGCCTGTTGCCTGGCTTTTAAGGTAAAGAGATTTATGATAACACCATAAAACACCATGTTATCTTTCAGGTGTCTTTAATAGCATTAGCAAGTTCCTTCTTTGTGGCCTTACACAGTGCTTGCTGTGTGCAGTGGTGGATTCCTTTCTTCTCCACAGGGAGAGAATTCACATAAAGATGATTCATTGCCAGGCCTAGAAGGTGTAGAGGGGATGGGCAAATGTTTTCAAGGTACCAAGTAGAGAGGAGGAAGCTGCTTGGATATTTAGCTAAGTCTGGGCATTTTCCAGGGCTTCTCTTTGCACGCCAAAGAAGTAATCAACGTATACAATCCCACTTGCTGTCTAGGAAGATCCCGTTGTAACAAATGAAGCACCCAGGAGGCCCTGATCATCAAAGTATTTTTCGTGGAAAATCAATGATGTATATTATCGATGTGAGCTATTGATGTACATAACCATAAGTTTACATACATATGCTATATTTGACAATGGTTGGAGGATTTAGCTCTAATAGACTTGAGTATAGATTTCATATTGTCAGCATCAGCATTAAGAATCAAACACATAGACAGAGTAGCTATCCTTTCTGATCATCTGCTAAACATATTTTTAAGACAAATTTCCCATCAAGGCCATTTGTACCTGCTGCTGTCTGTCTACTAGGAAATAGGTTCCTCCTCAAACACCCCAAGGCACATCAGTCATTTTGATGTGCTTTGACCCATGGCTAAAAAAAATTACTAATGATATTGCCAGCAATTAATGGATCCCAAAATAAATCTGTAGTCATTTGAGCTTTGTGACCGTTGTTTCTATTTAACCTCATATGATAACTGTTCATATGCACATAATTCACAATTTTATTCAAGTGAACATTTGTTGATGCTGATGATCTAAATTAATAAATGGTTTATTATGGGTGTTTTTTGTTTATAGTGAAAACTTAATCATTATCTTCTAACATATATTATCCAATTCTCAGTACAGCAACACCAAAAGGTACACTAATCGTATTAAATGATATATTACACTGTATAATTAGACTGACAAGAACTGCCCTAATGTTTAATAGCTTTGTGGGGGTGTTATTATTTCTTACAAAGACAGATAATAGATGAGTCAAATGTAAAAGGTAAATCCTCCAGAGGATGAAATATGACATCAAGAAAGTTTATTTTAAATGAAAATACTTGGAATTTTTAAATAAACACAAACAAAAATATGTGAAAGAAAAATAGTGATGTAAATGGCCTGCAACCCTGACTACATATTATTTTTCCTAAACAACTTTCATTTGACTGAGGTGATGGCTGTACAATGCCTATAACAGTGATGGAACTGTTTGACATCCCCTCCCCCATAGCCCATTTATTAAATTTGAAACAACAATTTACTTAAGGGAAATATCTCATTCTCCTGTTTTCTCTTATAATGAGCATTGCCTTCATCACAGAGTTAAAAATTCATCTCTAATTTGATTTAATTGGCAGGACTATTAAACAAGGGAAATGCTACCTGCAGGGATCCATCAGCCTGTTGAGAAAGCCCAGAAATGTTTTCATACTTGAGAACATTTGATGCCAGTTGGAGACCCTGTAAATGTTGTTTTCCGTACAGCGTCCAAATATTTTTGTGCAGTGCTGATTTGTTGTAGAAATTTGAATGGTGAGAAGGAAAAATAACAAGGTTAATCATTTACCCACCCAAGGGTTATTAATAATCATGTTCACTCTATTCAGAGAGCTGCAGTGTCTGTTTGATTTTCCCCTTTGCTTTAATACTTCTAAATCCCCCAAATAAAAGTTCCATTGAATTGCCCTTTAACTAATTAGATTTTATATAATGAGGGAAAAATCATCACGCTAGTGTAGCAACATGGCAAATTGCATGGTGTGCTACGTTAATTTTGAACTGTTTGCTGATGTTCTAGAAAGAAAGCTAAGGTCTCGGGTGTAACGCCTTTGGGGGCTGTTTTATCATGTACCCAGAATCCTCATCTCAGATCCATTTCATATTTGTGTAACTAGCATTTCATATTCATGAAACCTTTGTTGTTATCCTAAAATTGAATGAACATTAGGACATGGCTGCTTTTTTAATCCTAAAAAAAAAAATATCAAATATTCCAGTGAGAGGCTAAGAATCCCCCAGTTACAAGAAGAATTTGGGAGGTACCAATCTTTATTGACAACAATTGCCCATCTTGAGCCATTGACCCTTTTATGTTTTGACCTTTACCTAGTCAATTTTGAAATGTCAATCCACTTTTTAAGTGTGAGCTAAAATCTCTACCTTTCCTAGTTGTCTTTGTAGGATAGGATGTTTTCAAGATAAAAGATGTGTCAAGTCTCCTATAATGAACCTTCAAACACATTGCTGTGAATCTTTTAAGAATGTGCCAATTAATGACTTCTTAGATTATAAGTCTTCTTGGAGTGCCAATGGGAAGCCAACCAACTGACCATTCTACCTCTTGAGAAAAGTTATGTAGAGATATGTGATTTGAATTATAGGGACATGTCCCCCAAGTTTCTATTGAGTTGTCTGGTGTAAGTTGTAAATTGTAAGTCTGAGTCAGCTCAGAGTGGCCAAGTAACCTTCCCAAAGTACTATGAGCAGGATTGCCTATCTGACTTCATTTAAATGAAGTGGAAGAGATTATATTAAAAAAAATCTGAATTTATTGACTCCTGCCAAGACTCTTTCTATGTAGTTAAGAAATCCCTTGATTCCTGAATTGACCAATTTTTGTAGAGAGCCACAGATTTTGGAGAAAAATGGAATTATTTTTGCTGGCACTTCACTGTGTTGTCAGCAAAACATACAAGCATGGTGAATGAGGACAGAGAATCACAAACCTTTGCCCCATTAAAGTATGTGGTTCCTCTACCATAGTACAACTTCCCAATAGACTTAGCAGAATGTAAGTATATAAATGCTGGGCTACTATAGATGTGAGTATGTGGGCTATGCAAATTATGTA